GGGGGGGGGGGGGGGGGGGGGCGGAGGGAGAGCGGAAAGGGGGGGGGAGCTTAAAGGGACCGAGTCTAGGGAGGGGGGGACATCTGAAGCTGTCCCCCCACTCTGTCTCGTATGCTCTTGGACCACCTCTCTCCTCCTTTTACCCTGGTATTCAAGTCCCCAATTTAGGCTCCCTTGGAGTTGTCATGGAAACGGAGGCAAGACCAAGCAAGGCGGGTGGGACTAAGAGAAGGAAGGAGGGAGAGAGAACTCTCTAGAGTCTCCCCTTCTAAGACTCGCTGTAGTGATTATGTCGTGGGAAGGAGTGAGCCAGGTGCTCAGTGGATTCAATATCCGACCTCCCTCCAGACCTGATTCACCCAGGCAGGTCTTCCCCTCCTTATTTCCCTTCCGAGCTATTTGCAAGGTACCAGGATCTCCCAAATCTGTGGCCCTAATTTTCTCCTGTTTAGAAGAGCTAACGTATATGAGGGAGAATTGTGGAAAGTTGAGAACCAAGATATTCCGAAAAGTTCCTGGGATGCACAGTCTGGGCTGCCATCCTGGCCATAAAGTGGGGAGACTTGAGTCTATAATTTTTTTGGGGAGCCCCTCATATTTGTTAAGGAGGCGTCTTTACGGCTTGAGCCACTCCGTCCACCTTTCTTTGGGGTGGGATTATTTTCGAGACAGGGTCTCCCAAACTATTTGCCTGGAGCTGGCTTCAAACTGCCATCCTCCTGATCTCTGCCTCCTGAGTAGCTAGGATTACAAACGTGAGCCACCCATCCGGCTTTAAATTTTGTTTTTGTTTGTTTTTTCAAGACAGGAAGGGTCTCCACTATGTAGCACAAGTTGTCTTCAAATTCTCCATTCTTCTGCCTTTGTTTCCCCAGTGCTGGGATTACAGTATGTTATCACGCCTGGCTCTGGTGTGTAATATGAAAGTAGGTGGGGGAAGGGAGAGAGCATTGGGGCTCATAGCTGCCTTCTTCCTCCAGAGTTAAGGAGCTGAAATGCTTTGGGACAGGGAAGGGATGATCTAACTGCTCATTTCTGAACTACATGCTTATAAACATCCGTTTTCCCTCTTCCTCCCCCCACCTTGCTTGTTGGGGTGCATAGAGTTTCTGGGTAAGGTCAGTGTTCAGATTCATTCCTGAAATCCCCCTACCCCCACACACCACCCTTGCCAAGACGCAACTCCACCTCGGAGTCCACTTGAGGCACAGCGATTATTGCAGTCTTTTATTTGCTTTTTTGCATCTTGGAAGCGCGTGGGTGCGGAGGTGGGGTGAGGATAGGCAGTCTACCGAGATTACACCAGTTGGGCTTTTTGTAGAAGCAGCCTGAGCATCAGTTATCCCCTCCCCCTCCTTTAGAAGTATTTCCCAGCCCCTGCCTAAGGCAGTCGCTCTCCTAGCTGTGTCTCTCCGGGTCTGAGTCCAGGCGGAAAGCAATAAAGAGGCCTGAGTCAGTTTTGGGCTTCAAAGATTTAGAGCACGGCCTCATACCGGTCGTTCTGGCTTTTTTCAGGCGTTCCCGTAATCCCCTAATCCCTTACTCCTACCCCATCCTCACTCGACACGCTTCTGAGTCCAAGTTGGTTTTATTGGGAGAGACGAGTTTAGAATGAGCAAAGACTTTATGATCAGGTGGAGAGACTCAGACATGCTCAGAAATCCCTTTCTCAAGGGAATAATTTTTAACTGTTGAGTAAAAGCCCTAACAAAGGCCTCAGCCGGGCACTGGGATATCGGGTAGGAGTCAAGGGTAGGCTGAGCGGTGCAGGAACCTGGAGCTCGAAGTCTGGCTAGGGTAGAATGCTCTGGGGAGGGAGCGACTCAGAGTTCTGAGGACCGGATTTTAGGGCGTCGCTCAAGTAGAAGACTGATCGAAATCGAGTAGGCGTGAGTTAGCGCTGCCCCAGGAGCCCACGCCCCTTGGGGGGTGGGTCGCATTTGGGGAGGAGAATTGAGTGGGGCTGGAGAAACTGGGCCAGGCTGCACTTAACTCGAGGGGCCTGGAGGACTCTCCACGTCTCTGGAGACGAGGGCACTACACGCACTTCAGACTGAAGAGTTGTAAGACGCTGATGGGGTGGGTAGGGGGTCGAGGGGCGTGCTCCAGCTGCCATCAGCCCTGCACGACATCCCGCCACCCACGAGGCGTATGGCAAAAGGACTACCTTTTCCCGAATCCAACCCCCACCGTCCCTGACCGAGAATTTCGTGTTCTGCTGCAGAGTCAGGCGCCTGGATTGCGAAGTGGGGTGAATCAAGGCGGGGGAAGTCGGGTCGCGGTGCAGCGGGGCCTGGAGAGGCTTTCTTTAGATTTCTAGGGTATATTTGCAGCTGCTGGTTCTCCCCACCTCCCTAAATGGATCGCTCCGCCTATTTCCTCCCCACCTCCTAGGGTGCAATGGAATATTCCATTGCCCCTGCGGTCCCCCGGCCTGCGTTGCAGGGGACGCTCGCACAGTTGCCAGGGAAAGCCCCGGACGTGACGGCTTTGCGCGACCCCGAGCAGTCCTTCCCCCCCTCCCATCCGTCATTCCCCTGCGCGCTCTCGTTACACCCTTCCCCTCCCCGTGGGTTCCAGACTGGGGAGAAGTAAACAGCGGGCGGAGCGAGGCCTACAGATCCAGGCCAGGTGAGAGTTTGCACTCTCCAGGGGTCCTGGGCTGCTTCTCGGCGGGGAGGGGGGGGGGTCTTGCAGAACTCCAGGATGTGCATGGCTGGGGTGATGCATAAGGAAGATCCTGGGCCTAGCGACCAAGTACCCCGATCACTGAGTTGGGGGCGGGACCTCAGATGCGCGTTGGTGCGTCAACGTGTAGTAGGGGGTGTGTTTGTGAGGAGAGGACCTGGAGTAAGTTAAAAGTAGGCTATGTGACAAAGACCTGGTGTGGAAGTGCGAAGGGAAGGCTTGATTATCAGGTGTCTGTTCCGAAGGAAGGGGATGTTGTCATTTTCTTCACAGTACCTCATTTCCCCTTCTCAGGTGGGAGCATGCTGGGTCTCTGGGGGCAGAGACTCCCCTCAGCGTGGGTTCTGTTCCTGTTGCCGTTCCTGCTGTTGCTGCTGCTGCCTGCAGCCCCGGCACCCCACCGCGCTTCCTACAAGCCGGTCATCGTGGTGCATGGGCTATTTGACAGCTCATACAGCTTTCGCCACCTGCTGGAATACATTAATGAGGTCTGTTAGGGGACACTGGTGGAGGGTGTTGGAGGTGTCTACATAGCTGGGAGGAAGAGTGGGCAGCTGAAAGCTACCTCTGGGACTGCCAGCTCCTCAGGAAACTGCCACAGGAGTGTGTATGTGTGAGGGGGTAGTTGGGAGCTGGGATCCCTGGTTCTAGCAGTCATAGTAGGCATGTGGATGGTGACCAGGGGGTGTGTGTGGGAGCTCCATAGTCCATCCCCAGTGGTTGCATTGCCCCCTTCCCACAGACACACCCCGGGACTGTGGTGACAGTACTTGATCTCTTCGATGGCAGAGAGAGCTTGCGGCCCCTGTGGGAACAGGTGCAAGGGTTCCGAGAGGCTGTGGTCCCCATCATGGCAAAGGCCCCTCAAGGGGTACATCTCATCTGCTACTCCCAGGGTAGGCGACAAATTCCTCGTAACTCCTAAGCCCTGCTTGAGGCTTGATCCTTATCTGAGGGATACTAACTGGGATACTTCCTGGTGTCCCCTTTTCTGAACTACATTGCTTCAGCCAGAGCCCTGGTACCTGAGCCCCACTTTTCTGACTTCTCTCAGCACCTGTATCTTTCTGTCTGTCCTGAATGGGAGGGAGGTTCCATGTACTACTGCCCCTTCTGTCCCCATATTTCATGGTTATTGTTAAAAGCATTCTGGAGTTAGTCAGGAGACCGAGACTCTTAATTCTGCCTTTGTCACTTCATGATATGTGATCTTTTGGCATAGGGTGTGCCTGCATTCTGTGGGCCCCAGTCTCCATATATTCAGTGTGTGTGTGGAGGGAAGGGGCAGAAAGCAGGGGCCTATATCCTGTTGACCTGTCTGTATTTAAGTCCCTGCTCAATGTTGATGTTCTGCCTTCAGGTGGCCTTGTGTGCCGGGCACTGCTCTCTGTCATGGATGAGCACAATGTGGATACTTTCATCTCTCTCTCATCTCCACAGATGGGGCAGTATGGAGGTGAGTGGGCACTGTGGGATCCATAGAAGGCCCTGAGTTTTGGGGGGCACAGAGGCTAGTGGCCACTTGGAACTGCCATTCTCTTGCCAGACACAGACTATTTGAAGTGGCTGTTCCCCACCTCCATGCGGTCTAATCTCTACCGGATCTGCTATAGCCCCTGGGGCCAGGAATTCTCCATCTGCAACTATTGGCATGGTGAGTGGGGGATGCTGAACTGGGGCCTCCATGGAGAAGGCACTGTGGAGGGTAGGGCCTGCTGCCACCACCTCTACCCTAACCAGTACCAATGACAATAATGAGATCTTCCATTTATTGAGTACTTATTATCTGACTAGGCACTGTTCAAATTGCTTTCTTTATGTGTATCATCTAATTGTCTCAGAGAGTATAGTATGATGCAGGGATCAGCAGAACTTTTCTGTAAAAGGCCAAATGGTAAATACTATTGGCTTTGTAGGCCATACAGTTTCTCTCACAACTACTTGACTGTGCTGTTACAGTGTGAAAGCAGTGTAGGCCGTATGTAAATGAATGAGTTGTGTCTGTGTTCCAATGCAACTTTTTTTATAAAAACAAGTGGCAGACTAGATTTGGCCCATGGTTCATAGTTTTTCCACCTCTAGTGCAGTCTGTAAGACCATGATGCTGGGGCCAGACTACTTGACATTGCTGGGTGATTCTGGGCAACTTACTTAGCTTTTTCTCATCTGCAAAATAATGTAGCACATACTTCATAAGGTGGTTGTGAAGATTAAATTAATGTAATGTGCTTTTGGCAGTACCCGATTCATAGTAGGTGCTAGATAAAAGTGCTTCTTATCATGTTTATAGTTATTAGCAATACTATTATATTACTATTCACCTTGACTATTACCACAGCCTTATTGGCTTCTTTATCTTTCTAACTGCTGTTTGTGCTCAGACCCCCATCATGATGATTTATACCTCAATGCCAGCAGCTTCCTGGCCCTAATCAATGGAGAAAGAGACCATCCCAATGCCACTGGTAAGACCCCATGCTCCCATCTTGTGTTCATTTTTCTGCTTCTTTGACCCCATGTCTTTTGCAACAACCTGGGCTGTGACTCAGTCTTCTTTCTACCACCCTGCAGCATGGCGGAAAAACTTTCTTCGTGTGGGCCGCCTGGTGCTGATTGGAGGCCCTGATGATGGTGTTATTACTCCCTGGCAGTCCAGGTAATAAGGGATTATGGAGACTGAATATTGGCTAAAAACATTTTTCAGCCCCACAGCAATCTTTATCTCCAGCCTAAAACTGGCCTACTTCTCACTGCTCAGTTAGTATCTTCCACTTGCTATTTGTCCTGTTACCTAAAAGCAAAACCTCTGGGAGGCATATTCCAAATCTCTATATCTACCCCGTCACTAAGTCCTGCCGACTTTACTCTCTTTCCATCCCTGTCAGCCCCTCTGTAAAAGCTTTTCTTTTCTGGGGGGATCAAACAAGCACTAAACAAGCACTCAGCCCTTATAAAACTTAATTTTGAGTCTGATGAAGAAGGATCACTTGAGCGCATGAGTTTGAGACCATCCTGGCAATACAGTGAGACTCTATCTGAAACAAAACAAGACAGAACAAAACGGAACCCAGCTTTTAATTTTGAAATAATTAGGGGTTGCAAAGATGGTTTAGAGAGGTCCTGTGTATGTTTCACGAAGTTTCCCCAGTCATTGCATCTTATTTAACTAGAGCACAACATCAAAACCAGGAAATTGACATAGGTACAAGTGGGGGAGTTCTGTGCCATTTTATCTTATTTCCTACCGTCTCTTTACTGACCTAGACTACTGTGACAGCCTTGAGCCTCATCCCCTCCATCTTATGCCTCAGGAAAATCCATGGTTCCATGGCACTGTGTGCTTGCCTCGGTTGTATGTCATTATGAGTGATCTGAAATGTCACCTGAACTACATTCCTAAAAAATATTTGTTGAGCACTGTGTGCGCAAGTGCTGCTCTAGACTCTGGGGATGCAGCAGTAAATAAAAGAGAAATCCCTAGTGTTATGTAGCTTATGTTCTAGCTGGGGAGAAGATAATCAATTATAAAAACATATGTCAGGTGGCAATAAAAGAAGGCAGAGGGGAGATCAGAGGATGACTGGGGCCTATTTTAGATAGTGGTCAGAGAAGTCCTCCTAGAAGGCTGGGCAAGTAAGACTGAAGGAAATTAGGGAAGGAGTTCTGCCACAGTCTGGGGGAAAAGACTCAAGGAGCTCCTGCTGAGCCCTGGGGCTGGTGTGAGGAATGAGGAGGCAGGTGTGGCAAAAGCACAAGGACTGGGGGGAGGTCAGGAGAGGAAGGTAGAGAGGTAGCAGAAACCAGTTAACACTGAGTCTTTGTAGGCCAAAGTTAGGCCCTTAATTTTTTTCTTTTTTCCTTTTGCAGTACTAGGGTTTTTAACTCAGGGCCTCAGGCTTGCTAAACCTACCACTTGAGCCATTCCACCAGCCCAATTTTTTTCCCTTTTTTATTGTGACCAAATACAGCCAGGTGTGATGGTACATACCTATAATCCCAACACTGAGGAGGCTGAGGCAGGAGGGTTGCAAGTTTGAAGCTGGCTTGGACTATATAGTGAGACTGTCTCTCACACACACACACACACACACACACTGGGCTGGGGTCTTGGACTATATAGTGAGACTGTCACACACACACACACACACACACACACACACACACACACACACACACACACACACACTGGGCTGGGGTCCATAGCTCAGTAAAGTACTTGCCTAATATGCTTGAGATTCTAGATTTGATTCCAGCACCAGGAGAAAAAAAGTATATGTATATGGTGTATGTGTGTTTATTTGTAGATAGGTAAATAGGTAACTAAATTACAATTTTAACCATTTTTACAGTGTACAGTTTTTTTATTTTTTTTTTTGGTATTGGGGCGTGAACTCAGGGCCTTCAAGCTTGCTAGTCAGAGTGGCTACTTGAGCCAGTCTGCCAGCCCTTCAGTGTAGTTTTGTGGCATGAAGTAAATCCACATTGTTGTGCAGCCATCACCACCATTTATCAAAACAACTTTTATTTATTTATTTTTTTTATGGAATGCTTCACGAATTTGCATATCATCCTTCCACAGGGCCCATGCTAATCTTCTCTGTATCGTTCCAATTTTAGTATATGTGCTGCCTAAGCGAGCACTATCTAAACAACTTTTACCCCTAGCCTAAAGTGAAACTCCTTACCTACTAAACAGTAACTCCTCATCTGCCATACTTCCTGACAGCTAGTGCCTTTGGTTTTTATTCTGAGTGAGATGGGACAGTATTAGAGGGTTTTGATAGTGACACCCCTTACAATATTATAATTGTGCAACAATAAGGGATGACTTTATATACGCTATCTCATTTTACATATCCAACAACCCTATGAATGATAGTAATAGCTCAAGGCACTCTTTTAAGTACTTTGTATGTATTAGCTAGTTTAATCCTTACATCAGCCCTGTGTAGCTGACAGGTACACACCACCATAGCCATTGGTTGAGAGTAGCTAGGCTTATAGACTTGAGCCACTGTGTCCCAGCAAAGGAGGTATGCTCATGTGGTGTATTAAATAACACACTCAAACACACGCTTGGAGAGAGTGTGGCAGAGCTGGCGTCCAAATCACAAGCCTGTGTGCCATTACTTCTTTTCTGTACCTAAAATCCAACCCCAGACCTCTAGCTTAGCTCCCCCATATGTCCAACAGTGTCTCATCGCTTGTGTCTTTGTTCTTGCTGTTCCCTTTGGCTGAGACACTTTCCCTAGACCAGGATCACGGCAGATTACAGTAAAGAGATGATAGGAAATGAGATAAAATAGCTTCCCAATGGGACGTATTGTCAGTGCTTTAAAAAATTAGTGTGGCAGGGGGGAGAAATGGCCCAAGCAATGTATGCGTATATGAATAAATGAATAATAAAAAAAATTAGTGTGGTAGCCTCTCCTTTGTTCCCACCGACCACTGGACTTAACACAATTAGCAGATGTTCATTTATTCACAGTGAGGGTCCACTCAGTGCCTATACCAGTTAAATATTCTTTAATTTAAAAAAATTAGACTATTTTATTATATTATTATTATCAGTGGCTCTGGGATTTGAACTCAGGACCTCACATTTGTTAGGAGGACATTTTATTTTACTTTTTAATTTTTTTTTTCCGAAAAACAATATTGGGAATTGAATGCAAGGTCTCCCTCCTGCTTGCGAGGCAAGCACTCTACCACTTGAACCATGCCCCTAGTCCTTTTTACTTTATTTTTGGGATAGGGTCTTACATTTATTCCCAGGCTGGCCTGAACAGTGGTTCTATTTATGCTTCCCTGAGTAGCTGGGATGATAAATATATATATTTAACTACATCTCCAGCCCTTACTTGTTTTAGCACACTATCTTATTTTTTGTATTTCTTTTAAAAAATTCGGAATGTTTCACAAATGTGCATTTCATCTTTGTAAAGGGCCATGTTAATCTTCTCTATATCCTTCTAATTTTACATAAGTGCTGCTGAAGAGAGCACAAGACCTTATTATTTTGAAATAATTTCATACTTCTAAGAAAAGTTACCAAAATAGTGTAAAGCATTCTAGTACGCTCTTCACCTAGATTTCCCAAATCTTAGTATTTTACCTTTTTTTTTTATGGTGTTGGGTTTAAACTCAGGGTCTCACACTTGCAGGCAGGTGCTGTACTGCTTGCCCTGGGCTGGCCTTGGATTGTGATCCTCCTGATCTTGGCTTCCTAAGTAGCTAGGATTACAGACATGAGCAACCGGCATCCAGCAATATTTTACCATGTTTGCATTAACATCTTTTCTCAGTCCCCCTACATATGTATGTACTTACATATATTAGTTAATTATATAAACCTTTAAATTTGTGGTTTTTTGTGTGTGGATCCTTTGACAGTAGGGTTTGCAGACACGATATGTCTTTACACCTCTATACTTTAGTGTGGGGGGATGTACTTCCTATAAATATGCTGTTCTTTACAAAGCTAGTTTTCAAAAATGTGAAATTGAGACAGTAATCTATAGATTATTAGTTTTCTAATTGTCCTTATAGAAGCAAGATCTAGCCTTGGCTCACGTGTTGCATTTAGTTGTCATGTCTCTTTAACCTCTTTTAATCAAGAATTATCCTTCACTCTTTGCCTGTGACATATACATATATATGTATCTATATGTGTACATATATCTATATATAGAGAAACACATATAGATATGTTTTTCTGTGTGTGTGTGTGTGTGTTTGTGAGACTGGGGTTTGAACTTAGGGCTTCACACTTGCAAGGCAGGGTCTCTACTGCTTGAGCCACACTTCCAGTCCATTTTGCTCTGGTTATTTTGGAGGTGAGTCTCTTGAATTATTTGCCTGAGATGGCATGTTCTTCCCAATCTCTGCTTCCCAAGTAGCTAGGATTATAGGCGTAAGCCCCTAGCGCCTGGTTGACATCTATATTTTTGAAGCACATAGACTAGCTTTTATTGATTGATTGATTGAATGAATGAGACAGGGTCTTGTTATGTAGCTATGTAGTGCAGGTTGGCCTGGAAGTTATGATCCTCCTGCCTCAGGCACCCAAGTGCTAAGATTATAGGCATGTGCTGCCGTAGCTGGCTAGATCAGCTATTTTGTAGCATGTCCCTCAGTTTGGGCTTGTTGGATATTTCCTCATTAGATTCAGGCTGAGAATTTTTTAATGGGAATTCTGTAGATGTTATGCTATATCCTCAGGGCATCCACCTTTGAGGTACATTATCTCCAGTTAAATATTTTGAGTGTTTTGCCTGTTGCTTGTGTCTCTAAAGGGCTGTGAGTTCTTGAAGGACCCTAGCCCACCTTGATTTTCCTTGGCTGTCCTGATAACATACCCCAAATCTCTTTGTAGCTTCTTTGGTTTCTATGATGCCAATGAGACGGTCTTAGAGATGGAGGAGCAACTGGTGAGTTCCTTGGAATTATTTCCCCTGATTTTGGCCACTGGCCTCCCTCATTGTGGAGCCCTCCCTGCCACTATTCCCTGATCCAAAGGGTTGACCCTGTGGGGAGGGGGCCAGGACACCAGCAGTAATTCACTTTGTTTTTTTTTGTGTCTTTCTTCCATGCTTTGGTGCCCCTTTGTCCACTTCGAAGGTGTACCTCCGGGATTCTTTTGGGTTGAAGACTCTCTTGGCCCGTGGGGCCATAGTGAGGTGTCCGATGGCCGGGATCTCCCACACGACCTGGCATTCCAACCGTACTCTTTATGAGTCTTGCATTGAACCGTGGCTCTCCTAAGGACATTCTCGGGAGTCACCAGGAATTCCCAAGCCCAGAGACCAAGTGGTGGCCTTGGAAAGCAGACATCAAATCTAGCATGCCTGTGACCACCTCATTGCTCCCACACTGCCCCCTACCAACCAGGGCTCCCAGAACCCCCTCTTCTGCTCTTCTGTGAATGCCAAGTCCTGGTTCTCCCTACCTCACATCCTCTTTAGGGGTGGCTCCATGCTTTCCCTTTCACCCAAGGCTGAGGTGGGAAGTGAGAGCCAGGTTTTTAACTTGTGGCTGCTTCTACTGCTGCTCCTCCTTTGTATCTGGCTGTGCAGGAGGAGAACCCACTCCCTGCCCACCACAGGGGTCTCCTTCCAGGCCACTCAGGACATTTTTAGCTTCTGTTCTGTGTTCCCTTTTCTTCTGAACTTCCCCCGTCGTCAGTCCTCATCACCCCGAAGAGGGACACCCATGAGAGTGGGGTTCTGAGGCCCCCCCTATGGGGACAGTTCCGTTCTTGAAGTGTCAGTGTTGGGGAATATCTGTGGCCTGCAAGGCCCATCTCAGGTTTGGGGATCCCCCAGTCCCTATGATCAGTGTTGGGGTATGCCTTGGGAGCCTAGTTTGAGGCCCCAGCCCCTCTTTTAATTACTCTTGAGTGGGTGTTCCCTGTATTTATGGAAATAAAGTTCCATTTCCTCAGTGTGGCTTGGCTCATTTCCAGGAGAAGGGAACCTGGGTTTCCCAAGGAGGGTGGGGATGGAGAGCCTGGGGCCTGGGTGCCAGGATGCCTGATCTGGGGTGGAGACCCCCTTGGTGTTTCCGTTCTCTCAATGCCCATTCTGTGTGGGTTCCTGATTCTCTGCGGGTTCTTTCCTGCTGAAGACAATTCTCTTCCTGTCCCAGCCTAGGATTAGGGGCTGAGCCCAGGGGCTCCAGTGGTTTGGGGCTCAGCCTCATGGGTAGAATGCGCTTGCCACCCCCAGGCTAGACGAGGGGGCTGAGGGTCAGGGTGGGCATTTGTTGCGCTCCTTTTCGATCTTTGTAGGCCAGAGCTGGGTGAGGGGCTACACAATGAGCCTCCTTTTCCTTGAAAGAAGGAATTTGGGCCAAGACAATAGTGCCCTGTCTGCTCTGGCATGGGGGGTGGTGGCTGACTCAACTCTGTATCCCCCAAGTCCTAACAAATGTCATCAAGAGGTGGGGGCAATTTTCCCCTTGGTGGCTTGGGTTGACCTCCCCCCACCCCCTGCCCTTTTGTGACGCCTTACTCTTTTTCCCTTAGCTGATCTTGCCTCTTCCCTCATGACTTAACCGTGCTTTGTGCCCTGCCAACTTGGTCTCTCTCACAGTGTGTGTTGGATTGCAGGGGTAGTGTTAGAGCCAGGAGCTGTGGTTGATTTGGGGAGTCCCTAGTGTGGGGGCCTTCAAGGGCTGGAAGATTCTTCTAGTCAGCCCTTTGCTAGAGTGTGGGTGAGGGCAGTGGGACTTAACCAGGCTAGAGCTAAGGAGGAGGCTTGTGGGAGGGGGCAGGAATGGGAGGCCTCTGTCTGGCCCAGCCCCTCCTCCTTCCCAGCCCAGAGGCCCACCCACCAGTCTGAGCTGCAGCTGCTGAGGCTGGACTGACTGAATTCTCTCTGGAGAGAAGAAGCCAGGTGGGAAGGAGGGAAGGGGAAGGCAGGTGGGGAGAGAATGTCAATGGGAAAAACGGGAGTCATGTAGAGCCTTGAGGTGGGTGAGTTGGGTGGGGGGGCATTGTCTGAGTGAAGGATTCGTCCAGGGTGCATGTGGTGGCTTGAGTATGTGAGGGTAACAGAAATGTGTTTAAGGTATGGAAGTTCCAGGTCTTGGGCTTGTGTGTAAGGTGTGAGGGTTCCTTTCTTGGGTTTTGAAGTATGAAACTTAGGTTCTAAGAGAGCATGTTAAAGAGGGTCATGAGGGGAGGGTTAAGCCTGTCTTGTGTCCCTCCAGGTGGAACAGGGCACTGGGGGCAGATGGGCTAGAGGGGTGGTAGAGTGAGAGTGCTAGGGTGTGAACTTGGCTGATGCTGAATAAATCATGATATGTTAAAGACGGGTCAGCTAAAGGAACACAAAGTGTAGACAATCCTGGTGGCTAGTCTGTAAAAGCGGGCACTAGCAGACTGCTTCAGGAGGGGCTGGGGCTGGAGCAGCTAATAAGAGAGAGGAAGGGTATCCCTTAACTACTTCTTGCCTGCAGCCCACAGAGTCTGGAGAATCATGGGGTCCAGGGCTGAGCTGTGCACTCTCTTAGGCGGACTTTCATTCCTCCTGCTACTGATGTCAGGAGAGGGGGCCAAGGGTGGAACCTTCAAAGAGAGGTGATAACAGAGGGGGTGGGCCTGGGTGAGGTCTGCATGGGAGCCTGCTGCTGGGGGTGGGGCTTCTTGAGATGCAAAACAGGGCTGAAAGTTTAGAATGAGGGTGAGAGTCTATCACCTCCAGGGAAGAGGCCTCAGTGGCCACTGTGGGACTCCTGGCTCCCCACAGCCTGGCACACTCAGTCTCTTACCTTCTCTGGCATGGATGCAGGCAAGGTGTCTGCTCCAAGCAGACACTCATGGTACCACTCCACTACAATGAGTCCTATAGTCAACCTGTGTACAAGCCCTACCTGACTCTGTGTGCTGGAAGGCGCATCTGCAGCACCTACAGGTAAGGGATGGGGACCTGGAACTCTGGAGTCTCTCAAAAGGACACCAAGAGCCTTGGCCAGAGCCCAAACCCAGGTCCTTAGCCTGGCACTATGTTCCAGGACCACATACCGTGTGGCGTGGCGGGAGGTGAGACGAGAGGTGCAGCAGACCCACACTGTGTGCTGCCAGGGCTGGAAGAAGCGACACCCGGGGGCACTTACCTGTGAAGGTGAGGTGGGATCTCCCAAGACTTATGGGAAGCACGCTCAGGGGTGCAAGGGAGTTGGGCCTTTGGTTTAGGTCTGAACCCTTTTCTCTCCTTACAGCCATCTGCCTCAAGCCTTGTCTGAATGGAGGCGTCTGTGTTGGGCCTGATCAATGCCAGTGCGCCCCTGGCTGGGGAGGGAGGCACTGTCATGTGGGTGAGTTGGCTCACCCTCCCCTCCAGGAGGTGGCACTGGGCCTCCCCACCTTACCATCTCTCACCCTCCTCCTCTTTTGTGTAACTAGATGTGGATGAGTGTAGGGCCAGTGTTACCCTCTGTTCGCACCGTTGTCTCAACACAGCAGGCAGCTTCACCTGTGGCTGTCCCCGTGGCTTGATGCTGGGCCCTGATGAGCACACTTGTGCAGAGGGGTCTTCAGAACCCCCAACTAGTGCCAGCATCCTCAGTGTGGCCAGTGAGTATGGGCTGCAGGTAGAGGGCCTCGGGCCAGGAGCAAGAGCCAAGACATTGGTCAATTTATCACTTTCTCCCTATCTTTGTCTCTAGTTCGGGAAGCAGAACATGAATATGCCCTAAGGCAGGCGATGGAGATTAAAGAGCTGAGAGGGCGGCTGGAGAGGCTGGAACAGGTGAGCTGGAGCACCTAGGGCCTAGCCTACAGGGTGAGGAAGGCCAGGTTGTCAACATCTTGAGGTTATCTCTTCCTTTGCAGTGGGCTGCTCAGGCTGGGGCCTGGGTCCGAGGGGTGCTGCCCATGCCACCTGAAGAGCTGCAGCCAGAACAGGTGGCTGAGCTGTGGGGCCGGGGTGAGAGGATCGAATCTCTCAGCGACCAGGTGCTACTGCTGGAGGAGAGGCTGGGTGCCTGTGAGTCCTGTTCCTCCTACCTAACTCCCACTCCCAAAGACTGCCCCCAGCTCTTCCAAAGACTCTGCAATTTGGTATTCCTTAATTCTAGAATCCCCTCCTGGATGCTTACTCTCTACACACCTGCTGTCTCCATTTTACGCTCCTTCTCTTCTGATACCCTGTGCCCAGCCCAGTAGTCCCACTTATTGTTGGATGGTGGTCTGTGGATGATCCCCAGAAGGTGATCATCCACAGACCACAGCCACCCTATCTCCCCATCTCCTTGTCATTAATCAGGCTCCTGTGAGAAGAACAGCCTGGGCCCTGGCCTCAATCATCATCAATAAGGAGCCTCTACCCCCTAATTTATACAGAAACTGCATGTACTAATCCTCTGGGATTGACCAACTGTAAGCTGCAGATAAGGCTATTGGCCAAGGAGGAATGAGACATGAAACCTTTGGAGAGTGGAGAGCTGAAGAAAGGGGGAAGGTGGGCTCTCTTGGTCTTCCTGATCTCACTGGGTCAGGTTGCCTGGACAAGGACTGCTTCTTCAATTCCTTAACAAAAACAGCAAAAAAAAAACCTCCCAGATCTCTCTTTCTCTTTATTCTCAGTCACTTGATGTTATCCAGATAATTAATAAAAACCAGCCACAAAAAACTGGGTCCCACCCTCTCCTTCTGCTCCCAGCCTACCTCCTGGGTTGGGGGAATAGATCTGGAGTGGGAGGCAGGGAACAGCCAATGCCACTGTGAGGAAACTGGTTTAGAGAGGGTGGGGAGGTCAAAAGAAAGAGAAATAAATTAAATGCCCTCCTCTCCCTGCCAGTTCCTTTCCCCAACTTCCCAGAGAGCAGTGATTGCAGTGCCTGTTGTCTGCCTCTCCCCCCATGTCTGATTAGGATGGTACAGGGGGCTGGAGTGGGATCTGGTCAGGACCGCTAAAGAACTGTACCACAGGGACAGAAATGTGGAGACCAAACTGGCATCCAAGAATGTGCTCAACCCTAGGCATTTGGGCAAGGGCAGAGATGAGACCTCAGAGTTAGAAAAGTCTGCCCCCACTGAGGGGTCTCCAGGAGAGGGGTGAAGGTGCCAAAGGAAGTTCCCAGGATGAGCCTGGGAGGAGTGTTCCAGGTTTCAGCTTCCAGCCACAGAGTGGAGTCCTCATGAACGGATGAGCCCACTGAATCCATGGACTTGGGAGTGGGGAGTGAATTGTTCCACAGAACGGATGAGTCCACTGGTCAATGTGGGATGGAGAGGGAGAGAAGACTGCAAAGGAAGAGTCCACTGGGGATGGGATGGAATGAATCCCACTCTGGTGTAGGATGAGCCACTCAAGGGGAGGAAACTGTCCCACAAACAAGATGGCAGGAAGTGGGGATCAGAGTAGAGACTGCACCCAGGCAGGACAGTCCATGGGTGGGGCCAGGAAAGGGACAGGGAGTGACACTGTATCCACATTTACTTCAGAAGTTGAAGATTCCAAAGAGGAGAATAAGTGGGAAGAAGGGCACTGAGGAAGAGGGCTTGGTCCTGCTTCAGGGCCACTAGGTTGGTAGGTATGGGGAGGACGATCAGGACTGATGGGAGGAGAGCTCAGAGCCTGGCCTCAACCACCCCCCCAGGCTTCTTCAGACAGTCACCACCACCCCGGCCGTCAGTGGAGATTTCCCGGAAAATGGTGAGCATGGAGTGCCGGACTCTGTCAGCCAGAGCTGGGACGTCATCTGGTGTCAGCCCTTCTGTGGGCACTGGGGGCAGCACCCGCACCTGACATCGTCCTGGTGATGAGGAGCACCATCATGGCTTGTACTCCCAGGTCTCTGCCCATAGGTGGGGCCCAGCTTCACAGAAATCTTGCTACTCCTTTCCTCAGTCTAAAGTCTCTTCCCTAAGCCTAGACAACCACCCCTCCACTTGCCAGCTCTCCTGTACAAAGCCCTCCCCAAACCCCAGTCCAGATACCTCCCCATCACCCCTGCAGACCCCATTGTCTGGGTTTAGTATTTACTGCCAAGTGTTATTCATTACAACTTTGCACATACAGGCCTTACCTTTCCTGCTAGATCCTAAAAGCCCCTCTTGGAGAGACCAAGTACTGCCCATTTGGCAGTATACAGTGGGTGTTTAATATGGACTTATTGCCTGGTATGGAGTCAGACTAGATGGTCACATGGATGTCTCAGGGTTCTGGCACTGAATGATCCCCCTGCCTCCCAGGGATGCCCCCCAGCCCTTCTCCCATGGCCATTCTGGCCACTCCCCATCCCCCAAACCTCCTCAGAGCACTCACCTGAAGTGAAGCGGCGCTCCTTCTTGCAGTAGAAGTCTTGATAGGAGGACATGACTATGGGGACAATGGGAACCTAGGGGAAGGGTAAAGCAAATCAGTCCACAGGTTCTTCTGAGTCCAAGTCTCTGCCTAAACAGGAAGATTGGGGGCTAAGCACTGAACAGCAGAAGGGGAAGTAGTAATCACCTGGGCCTGTACTGCAAGATGGAAGGCGCCACGTTTAAAGGGCAGCATAGAGCCATTGTGGTTTCTTGTTCCCTCAGGAAAAACCCAGACTCTCACCTGGGGAAGAAAGACACACACATAGGGAGGAGTCATTGTGGAAGCAATGTAGTAATGAGGCCCATAGGTCCTAGGTTACAACTATTCTACTCCCTAGCTCCCTAAGCCCCCATTTCCCCCAGGATGACTCACGTCCTGAGTGAGCAGGGTCTGGGCGACCTCAGACATGACACTGATGGCATCCCCAGTGCGCTTCCGGTCGATGAAGATGACTCCTGCCAGCCAGCATGCCAGTCCAGCAGAGCCGGCCCACAGTAGCTCACGTTTGGCAATGGGCACACATCGGCCTGGCAATACCTCCATCATCCCTTGGGCACAGGTGGGCATGGGGTAAGGATTAGGGTTCAAGTAGGGTGTTACAGCAGGCAGTGCACTCACCTAGGTCATTACCCACACTACTAGGGACTGGGGTTAAAGGAGTACCAAGTGAAAGCACGGGTGACTAAAGGTCTATGTATCCTGCTTATGAGGGCAGATCTGCCCCAGGGAAAGAAGGCCTGAGGAGGGAGTGAGGGGGCAAAACATGCCAGTGAGTTGACGACCTCTAGATGAGCAGGTTCTGGGGAAGGTGCCATGAGGGAAGGCATGGCTAGGGAATGTGTGCCGTTTGGTAGGGTCTCACCAAGCAGGTCGAGGGAGCTCTGGTGGTTGGAGACTACGACGTAGGGCTGTGATGGAGGGAAGTGGTGAGCCCCTCGCACCTCCACTCGGATCCCGTACAGGTATTTGATGTGGAGCAGCATTAGACGCAAAATCCTGTGGGGTCACAGCAAGGAGGCCTAGTGGGATCCACTCATGTCCACCTGCATGCCTCAGTTCCTTCTACCCTACTGACTTTCTATCACCTTTGTAATCCTTTCCCCCTTCCTTACCCCTAGACTCGCTCAGTCTCTTTAAGACACAAGATATTATTTGCAAATCTACCCTTCACATTTCTCACCCTTAGCTTCCCTTATCACCCACTACCCCTTGCCTCTCACTTCATGTTCTCAACGTTGCGTCCTCGTACGGCACACACAGGGATGGCGAGCACAGCCAAGAAGAGGATCCAACCGTTGTAGAAGGCCATCTTGAAGAAGTACTTGGCACTGGGGCTGTAGAACCATAGGGCAGGCAGCAGGAAGAGCAGCAGTAGAAGCAACAACAGCAGCACCGTCCATGCCCCGGGCCACAGCTCCATTCTGGCCACCTGCAAGGGATAAGGTGAAGGACCTGGTTTCTGGAGGGGAGGGGGAGGTCAGGTGAGCAAGGCCCACCAGACAGGGATAGGAAGTGCTCTGAGGACAAAGGCCAAAGACACAGAATGGAGCCTGGGCTCTCACAGAAACCTTCTCAGGAAGCCTGGCTAGGATGGGGAGTTTAGGACAGTTGTCTCTACCTTCCCTGCCTCCCCCTTGAGGGCTCTGGATACATTCAGAGATAAGAGACTCAAGATATGGATATCTGAAACTCACAGATAAGTAAAAAATAAAAAAACCAATAATGACAGCTAATACTTGTAGCTGGAAAGGATTTTGTAATAATCTATACCTGCACTGTCCAATACTGTGGCCACCAGCCACATGTGTTCCTTAGCACCTGAAATGTGGCTAGTTCAAATTGAGAGGTGCTGGAAAAGTAAAATATACATCAGATTCTACAGACTTTGGATGAGAAAAAAGTAAAATATCCTATTAATAATTATTTATATTTTCTTTGAAATATATTGGGTTCATTAAAAGCATATTATTTAAAGTAATTTCACTGTTTTCTTTGTATCTTTTTCTTTTTTTTGTGGGACTATGGTTGAATTCAGGGCTTTGTGCTTGTAAAGCAGGCACTTTATTACTAGTCACACCTGCAGTCCATTTTGCTCTGGGGTCTCACAAACTATCTGCCTGGGCTAGCCTAGAGCCATGATCCTCCCCTATCTCATCCTCCCAAGTAACTAGGATTACAGGCCTGAGCACTGGCACCCAGCTTGGCATCTCTTTATATCTTTTAAATGAGGTTATCAGAAAATTAAAACTTATACATGTGGCTTACAATATACTTCTGTTGGACTGTGTTAGTATAAATACTATGTTAACACATATCCACACAATAATCTATAAAGTGCCATTATTATTTACATTTTATAGAAAATAGGCCTAGAGAGGTTAAAAAACTTACCTGAGGTCACACTGATCCTAAGCTGTGGTTTCTACATTAAACCTAAGCAGTCCGCATTCTTGAGCACTCAGTTATGCCATCACCTGTGTGTATACACACACATACACACAATACAAATCAGATACAATGACAAACCACCCACAGACAAACACTGAGGGATGAGTGATAAGAAAAAAGCTCATGTCACTGATACAGATACAGTCATATAAAGACTGGCAGGCTCACACACACATATGCAAATTCATCATCACACTCAGGGACAAATAAAGGAATGTAAATGTATACCTAGAAAAATCCCTCTCCCCCCAGGCAGCCTCTTCAATCCCCAGAGACTTCCTGCTTCCTCAGACAGGCAAACGAATCCCAACACCCTCTTTCCTCCCTTCTACCTGCACAGAAGCAACGTGGGCAGCTAAGTGGTGTGAAAGGCACCCCTAAGTGAAAAAAGGAGGGTGGAGAGTAAAGGGGACATCATATCACCTTCCTCAGGAAAGAAGAGAAGCAAGCATATAGAACCTGTCTTCTAGGTCCTTCTGCCTCTGTCCCACTGCTGGAGGGAGGGTTACAGTTGACAAAAAGGGTGTTCAGGCAAATACCTGTTACTTCCATCTAGGTCAAAGGCACTCCCTTCCTAGAACAGGAAGAGCTGTGCTCAAAGGTAGGAGGCTATGTAGGAAATAGCTGGAAAAGTAGGCTTTCTAAACTGCTCCATCCCACTGCCCTGCAAGTTCAGAACAACATCATTTCTCCCCTGGGCTACATGCTGTAGTCTGCTAACTCTTTCTCTCCACTCATCTTCCACATGGCAACCAGAGATGCTTCTATAACTTAAATCTGAACATTTTTCTGTTTTGCCTAAGGCCCTTCTTGACAAGTTAACTTCTGTTTACATCTTTGACCACATGCCAACAAAAGTCTTTTTTGTTCCCAACTGATTTACTTCCTCAGCTGCACCTCGATCTTTCATGATTCTGTGCCTTGAACAGTTCCTTTTGGAATGCCCTTTCTGCCTCTTCTCTTGCCTCACACAGCCACCTTTTGGATGTCTTCCTGAACCCTTCGAGGCCTGTGCTCTCATTACAATTTCTTCTTGATCAGTGCCTCTCAAAGTATAGAAATGCAAATTCTTGGACCTCACCCCAGATATACTGAATCAAGAGCTCTGGGCATTGGGCCAAATAATCTGTACTTTAACATGCCTGCCAGGTAAGTCTGATGTGCACTCGGGCTTGATATAGACAGCACACTATATGTACCTGCTCATTGCTGTTTTCTTTTCCCTTAGGTTGTAAGCAGCTTGAAGACAGGGATTCTGTCTTATCTCCAAAGGCGATATAGAAAGTAGAATAGCTGCTCAATAAACACTTGCTGAACAGATTATAGGGCTGTTAGGTACCTACAATTAATGTCAGACGCCACAGATAGTGGTTCTCTTTTTCTTTCAGTGCTGGGTTCGGACACAGTTCAAGGTAGTGGTTCTGATCATGAATCAGAACCTTCTCATAGAATGTTAGTTATGAAAAGTCACTGAAAAGGTATTGAACGTGCTAAGCCATAACACTAAGGTATTCTGAAAACACACACACACACACACACACACACACACACACACACACACACACATATACATGGTCACGGTGAAGACAAGAATGACAATCATGATATAATCTTATCTTATATACAAGAGAAACATACAGAGTAGAATCTGTATGAGCCAGGCAAAGAGGGGAGCATAATGTCCATAAATATGGATGAAGAGAGTTTACAGCAGGGCTGACTCTGATATGCATGATGATATACAGCCAACAGAGAATTTGTATGAAGAAAGAGGTTGAGGTCAGCAAGGTAAAGCATGTAAGAATGACTCTTTGAGAATTGGGTGTGGTGGTACACGTCTATAATCCCAGCTACTAAGTAATCCCTGCTACTCCAGAGGTTCACAGTTCAAGGATAGCCCCGGGAAAAAGTTAGCAAGATCCCATTTCAAGCAACAAGCCAGGCATAGTGGTACATTTTGGCTGAGGCCTACCCCTATTTGAAAAATAACTAAAAACAAAAAGGGTGAGGGGTGTGGCACAAGTGGTAGAGTGACTGCCTAGCAAGCACATAGCCTGAGTTCAAATCCCATCAAAAAAAAAAAAATGGCCCTTTGAGAGACCTGGAGACCAAGTTACCTTCTCTAATATTTGATATTAAGACATCCTCTCTAGACAGAAACAGATAAGGAGCTAAGGATTAATAAACAAAATGGAATGCCAAATAGGTTAATGAGCATAGAGCTTTCAAAATATACCGACAATAAATTTATGAAATACATGGTTGGTGTAACCAGAAGCGCGCCCACACTATGGATGTGTTAATCAGTGCATCCATCAAGAGAAGAGGCACACACATGTGCAGTGAGAATCAAAACTAGGAAATCAAGCTAATCCAATCACAACATAAGTGTGTGCTACTCCACTAAACCATGAGAGTTCATATATGAAGACTCCCAGTTATGGCAGAACCATGGACATAACGTGTAAGTTAAAAAAAAATAAGATATATCACCTTCACATGCAAAAGCATAAAACATGTAGGTAGTATGGAACCACATAATAAGTGCAATATTTAAAAACTACACACATTCGGTACTTGAACATGTTAAAAGTGGATGAGACATGAACACAATATATGACAATGGGCAATTCTGACAGAAAATCAAACATTTCTCTATACCCTATGGATAGCACAGGGACAATCTAGCTGCACATAAGCCATTAAACATGTCAACGAAACAGAGTCAACGTAGAAACACCTCCAACACCACAAGGTATTTTTGTGTCAGTACGGGTCTAGCAGTGTGGAAGGCCACAGAAATAAGGTTCTGTGCCTACAGGGAATCAGAAGTGCCTGAGGGCATTCCTAGGAAGCAATTTTGCTGGCCTTCTCTCCTCATCACCCCCCAAAAGTCATGTGGGGCCAAAGGGTAAAAAAAGGAATTGGGGAATGAGTAGGGAATTCCCTGTCCACACCCCCGTCCCAAATTCAGAGTTTCCATCTCTCTTCCCACCCATGTCTCTTCCATTCTTCCGCTTAGGCCCCTCTCCTTTCCCCAGCAACCCTCTCCCCAGTCGGCCCTCCCAGCCCATCTCTCCCATCCCTTCATCCACGTCCCTCTCACACCCTCCTCCCTCCTCCCCCTTTCCCGCCCACACCTCAGTGGGGTGGGGGGCCTGGGGGGCTGGCCCCCTCTCCAGCCAGGCTGCGGCAGCGGTGGTGGCGGCTGGCTGTGTCTCTCTCTGTCGGGGTGTCGGTGCCAAGGGGGCGACAGGATTTAGGGGTGTCCTAGCCCCTGCCGATGGAGGGGAGGTGGGAGCGCGAGGTTGGGCCCATAGCTGCAGGAATGGTGGGGGGTTATCCCCCCAGCACCCTCCCTCCCTCCCTTCCTGCTATCTCTCAGGGCTGGGGCTGCTGCTGCCGCTATCTCCCCCACCCCTCCCCAACGCCTGCTAGCTTCCGGGGCTGGCCAGGAAGTGGGAGGCGGTGATGGGCGGCCTCACTTGCCAATCCCCTCTTAGAAAACCCGGCATCTCCTCCCCACATCTATTCTCTCGCTAGCTTCGCCCCAAGAGAGCTCCCTGGGCTTTGCTTGTCTCCAGCTGCATCTTTTTTCTCCACCCCCTTTTATTCTTTCAGCACACACGCTCTGAATCCCTTGTTGATGTATTCCTCTTTCGGCGCATTCCTTTCCTTCATTCCCCAGCAGCTCTCCTCTTATTGTCACTTTTACTTTGTTTCTCTGGTTTTTTTTCCCTCTCTAACTTCTGTATCTGTGCTTAGTCCCTCAAACTCCAACTCTTCCCGAAGACCCCTTTTCCTGTTCCCCCATTCCATTACAAACATTTAACAAGCACCTACTATATTCGAAGCGCTAAGTTCACCTCTTATCTTTTTCTCTTCAGGTCTCCATCTCTCCGCACCTTTGCCTTCCAGCCTTCTGGTCTAGTCTCTGCTCTTTGTCCCCCTCCTCCCATCATCTCCCAGCAGTCCAGCTCCCTCCTCTACCCACCCTCTCTGGCTTTAAAGAGGAGGGGTACTCCCTGGCTCTTTCCAGGTTCATTTCTTTTCCATGCTTGTTATCTCAGTACTTATCTCAGTACTGAGATAAGTTGTCTTTACTTGCCCAAGCTAAGACAACATCTCCCCCCAACATAGAAGCGGAACGCATCTCTTCTTCTGATGTAACTGGGCATTAAGGCATTAGTTTCTGGGGGGAAAGTGAGGAAGAATGCTGATTCCTCTGAGATGAGCATGCCTCCTTAATTTTGTAGCCATGTGTTCAGAGCTCCAGTTCTTGCTTTGGTCTCAGGATCATTCCATCTCCTTGTTCTCCATCTCTGCCTTTCAACACCTTATTCTCTAAACCTCCTCAAGCCTTCTAAACCCCTGCTTCCCCTATGCGGCTCCCAACTTCTTAGCTTTCCCAATTCTTTTTGTTGTGTACTGGGATTCGAACTCGAGTCCTCACGCTTGCTAGGCAGGCGTCCTTACCGCTTGGGCCACTCCACCAGTCGTCTTTCCCGATTCTTGAATCACATGGGACCTTTATCAAGGTGTTGCTGAATTTTTTGTCAGCCTCCCACCCCGAGGCACACCTTTGGCCTGCATGAGTTTACACGCCCTGGTGAAAAGGATGTAAAGAACATTGGTAGTGGGAGGACTGTTACCTAGTTCTGTTCCTAGGGCTAAAGCCCAAGCTCTCAAGGATCCAGCCGGGAAGACCCCAGTTCGGCTGGGCAAATTACCAAAAGGGGCGGGCTTTGTCCCTTCTGCACCCACTCATAAATGAGTGGGACCAGACCTTTTCTGCTTTTAAGGTTTGAGACGGAGTTGAGGTCGATTCTGTTATGCTCTTTCACATTAAAGAGGGGTGGGCCTTTAGCTCAGTTCTGCTCTGTAAATCACCTAAAGAGGGGGGTGCTGAATCGTCCAGCTGAGGGAGTTGGGTTAACACCAGCGCCGCAGATCGATGTTCGCACCATCCAAACGTCGGGCTAATCCCGGTTCTGCTTCCTTTTTCATTAAGAGGGAGTGGCGGACCCAAATTCTGCCCTCTACGTCACCCAAGAAGGCCGGAGCCATTTTGAACCCTGAGACCCTACAATTTTTGCCCTCTTTTTTGAGCTCTGCGCCGTCTTTCCGGGTCTCGGCCAATCCGGGGCGAAGGAAAGGGCCCAATCAGTCTTGAGAGTCCACAGCCAAAGGACCCGGATGGGGCGGGGCCAAGGCCTTTGAATTGCAAGCCTTGCCAATTGCAGAGCAGTCACCATGGCGACAAGTTAGAGCTGAAGGGGTGGGACCAGAGACGGCTCAACCCTGATAAGATTGGCCGGTCTTGTCCCATCTCCTGCTGCGCAAGCGTATTTCACCTCGCCACCGTATTCCGTGGAGTTCCAGCCAATCACTTGCTTTGGAGCCATACGCTCCAAAGTCCAATACGAACCCGGACATTCATTGAAAGCGGAAGTGAAGGAAAGAAAGAGGCTGATAGTGGGCGAGATCTATATGACCTGAGCCAATTACTCTGGGCTTTGGCTATGACTGGCATCCACACAGACGAATAAAAGCCTTTCTGGCCGGGCGATAACACCGGGAATAGCGAGTTGTTACCAATCTGTGACTGTGTCAGCCAATAATCATTGTGCGAGGGCAGGAGCGCACAAACCCTATCCGCCCCTACCCTTTGGACCAATCCTTTCTTTTGAATCCTGTGTGATCGGCAGTCACTCAGACCAATAGTGATTAGAAAACCTTGAAGTCTGCCCAACGATCGTGGGCAGGAGGCGGTTTCTCATTTGTTGGGGCGTGTGTGTGTTTGGGGGGACTGGGGTACGTGGGGGGCGAAACAGAACCGGCCATGGCAGCTGCGGAGGAGGAGGACGGGGGCCCTGAAGGGCCAAACCGCGAGCGGGGCGGGGCGGGCGCGACCTTCGAATGTAATATATGTTTGGAGACCGCTCGGGAAGCTGTGGTCAGTGTGTGTGGCCACCTGTATTGGTGAGAATCTGGGACGGGAGTAGAAGGTGGTGGGGCTCATCCCTATACTGAGGAGGCCGGGAGCGGGGAGCATAACCATATAGATAATCGGAGGTTACACCCGCACGTGAGGCCTGAGGAGGGGTCTCACGTCTTAATCTGGTTTGTGCGAGTAGATTAGATGAGATCTCTGGAAAGGAGGGTTTTACAAATTAGGAGCTAGTGCGTGTGTGCTGTGTTATAAGGAGGAGGTGGGACGGGAAATGGAGGGGCACTGCACTTCTGTACAGGTGAGCTACCTTACCCCAGGGAAGTTAGATTTTCTTAGCTGTACAGGTAGAAATGGATGAGAATCAAAGGCTAGGGAAGGTACGTATCACTTGAATTGTTGACTCAGGGAATATATGGGCCCACATTTAGATGAAATGTGGGAGGGGGTGGTATGACAAACCATAAGGGCATTGTGGATCGGTAGGATTAAGAGGTTCAAGAGTCGTGGAAATGAAAGACTTTAATGAGCTTGAAAACGAGAGGAAAAGTAGTGAGAGAATGCCTAGTAAAGGGGGTTTGAGCTGAATGGATGGGGGAAAGAACTGCTGAAAAAGAAGACCTGGAAAGAGATGTGTTGAAGAGAATTGGAAATTGAAGGCAGAGAAGAGAGGGGATGTGTGTGTGTGTGTGTGTGTGTGTGTGTGTGTGTTGGGAGAGGATTGAGTGTTGAAGATGGAAGGAACTCTAGATGTTGTAAAATCAGAGAAGGAGGAAGGCTCAGTTAGCTGGCATGGTAGAAGTTGCAGAAAATATGAAAAGAACTAGTAGGTAATACCTGGGAAGAGGGTGAGATGGGATTCTGCTAAGTCTGGGGTCTGTGACTCTTTTCTGTAACTATTTTGACTTTTTTCTTTTTCCCCCATCCAGCTGGCCCTGTCTTCATCAGGTGCGTATTGAGGAGATAAAGAAGGACATGGGGAGGTCTGAGGAACTAAAAGATCCTCCTTGTACTTGAAACCACTTCATTTTTCTCTCTCCCTCTACCCCCCAGTGGCTGGAGACACGACCAGACCGGCAAGAATGTCCTGTGTGTAAAGCTGGCATCAGCAGAGATAAAGTTGTCCCTCTTTATGGACGAGGGAGCCAGAAGCCCCAGGATCCCAGGTGAGATACTGGAGGTGGTATCAAGGGAAGATTGAGGCTTCTGCCCAGGGAAGATGTGTGTCAGAGTAGAGATTCCCTGTTGATAGTCTCTTTCTTCTCTCTCAGATTGAAAACTCCACCCCGCCCCCAGGGCCAGCGACCAGCTCCAGAGAGTAGAGGGGTGAGTTTTCTTGTCCAATAGCATTCCTTCCTTGCCAAAGGTGTTCTGTTCCCCTGACTTTTTCCACCTCCCTAGGGATTCCAGCCATTTGGTGATACCGGGGGTTTTCACTTCTCATTTGGTGTTGGTGCTTTTCCCTTTGGCTTTTTCACCACTGTCTTCAATACCCACGAGCCTTTCCGCAGGGGTGCAGGTAAGAGTCTTCCCTTAGTTCCTACCAGGGAGCCCTCTCAATCCCCTAGGTCTCCTTCTGGCCCACCAGCATTGTACTTCCATAGCTTTTCTTTCTCCTACAGGTGTGGATCTGGGACAGGGTCACCCGGCCTCCAGCTGGCAGGATTCCCTCTTCCTATTTCTTGCCATCTTCTTCTTTTTCTGGCTGCTCAGTATTTGAGCTATATCTCCTTCCTGCCCATCTCCAACAAGAGGAGAATCAGTATTGGGGGTTCCTGCAGACCCTTCCTTATTCTGGACACCCCCTCCATGACCCCTCCATTTTTGTTGGCTAACTTAGCCAACCCTAGCCACTCTTCTGAAGGGCATGGGGAGGAGACACATCTGTGCATAGGATGGGAGAGCCCGCTGCTCTGAATTCTTGCTGGGTAACTCCCAGTTCTGGGGAAGGACAGACTGAAGACAGTGTCCATTTCTCTCCTCTCCTAATCCTTTGCTTTCCCCCAATTTCGTGATTTGATGTTGAAAGGTGGGCAAGGCTTACTCTGCTCTCCCCCACTCCTCCTCTTGTCGATTTAATTTAATTTTCCTCTCCCCCGTGTTTAATATGGGTCTGACTCTAATTAACTCCCCACCCCTCACTACCTCCTTTATTATAAATTCAATAAAAAAGGTGAAATGTATTGATGGGAATTCTTCCTAAGTTCTCCCTCCCTCCCTTTCTTCCTTCCTCTCTCCCTTCTTCCCTCCCTTCCTCTCTCCCAGGACAGGAGGGTCTTCTCTTGAACTGGAATAGATGTTCAAAAAAAAAAAAAAAAAGAGACAAAAAAAAGTGCCAGGTGCCTGTGGTTCACACCTGTAAGCCTAGCTACTCAGGAGGCAGAGATCCTCCTGATCCAGCCCAGGCAAATAGTTTGTAAGACCCTATCTTGAAAAAAACCCATCACAAAAAAGGACTGAGAGTGGTTAAAGGTGGAGGCCCTGAGTTCAAACCCCAGTACCACACACACACACACACACACACACACACACACACAAAAGCAGGGGTGAGGTGGTCACACACACACAAAACATTCATAGAGCACTTGTGTCAAGTGTTTACTTAGCATGGTTTGTGTGGAAGAAAGTGTGGCAAGGTGGGGAAGACATTGTACAGGGGAGAGCTGGTCTGGAGCCAGCACAGTGTGAAGGAGCTGATGGACATGGTCTTTGTTGGGGTTCTTTAAGGCCTTCCTGCCCCACTTTCTGCTGCCTCAGGCTCCTCTGACTGATTAAGCTCTGTGCGCTCCTCCTCCTCCTCTTGGTTGTCTGGGACCTTCCTGAGGAGGAGGATTGGGAAAAATTCTGCACATGGTTCCCAGCATTCCATCATCCCCTACCCTCATACCCCTCACCTGCTGCCTGGAAGCCCCATGTCAGGTGTCTTTCTTCACTCACCTCTCCTCTCCCTGGTGCCGTTTTCGCCACATGATGGCCCCAGTGAGCAGGGCAGCTATTCCCAGGCCTCCCAGGATCCCCAGGGCCAGGGCTAGAGTTCCCAGCCCTGACCCTCCCACAGAGCCTGTAGGGAGATTTCAGAAAAGTGAGGGCACAGCCCCACCACTCACAGTTCCTTTCTTGTTTACCATACCCCCAGTCACGTGGTGGGGCTATCTGTTTTTCTCTGACTTTAATCCAATCCCTTACCTGCAGGTGGTCCCTCTTCACCTGTTTCTGGGAGACAGAACAAGTCAAAAAGAAAGGCTTAAGTTGGGAGAGAGCTGTATGGTGGGAGCCCCACTGTAGTCTTCCTTCAGTTCACTGGGGAAAGGTTGGGCTGCTCTCTTGGCAGGATTTGGGTGAGACAGAGGAGGCCTGGATGTGGGTGCACTGAGAGAGGGGTAGGGTGGATCTTGCCAAGGGAGATGGAGCCTTCTGCATCCCTTTCCCCCCCAGGGTCCCTGGATTTGGGGAGGGGTCTTACCTATGATGCTGATGCTGACAGCAGGGCTTTCCCTAGGCCTGTGACTGGGGTGAGTGGCCACACAGCTGTAGGTCCCCTCATCCTCAGGCCCTACCTCAGGAAGGAGTAGCACAGGGCTGGGGGGAAGGGGCAAGGGCATACCCTGGTGGGGGAAGGGAGACAGGAAACTATTATAAAATCCATCTAAACATCCCATACTCTTATCTTTGTCTACACATTCTGAGATACCCTGTCTTCCATTTTAGCGCCTTACCTGCCTCTACCTTTATTAGACCTCTGCCCTTCCAGTTACCAGTTATGGTTTTCCCTACTTCCCAACCCCTCTAGGTCACTCACATCTTTTATCCAGTGGATCTGAGGAGGCGGCTTGGCAGGGGCTTCACAGGTCAAGGTCACAGTCCCACTGAGAGCTACTGCTCCACCTTCTGGCTCCACCAGCAGTTGGACTTCCAGAGGCACAGGCTCTGGGAGTGGGAAGGGCTGGAGGTTGATCATTATACCTGGGAGTGGCTCTGGTGGCCATGGGCTTGCCTGTGCCTCCCCAAGGTCTATACTTCCAGAATGTGTTCATCTGAACTTGGGGTCCTCTTTACTTCAGTGCTTACCCTTGACATTGGGTTGGATGGGGGCTGTGTTCAAGGTTCGGTACCGGGGAAGGCCTGGACTGAAGCTACAAGAGAAGGTGGGGCGGGCAGCTTCTCCCTGGGCCAGGGTCACTATCAGTTCTGACTGGAGTGTAAAGAGCCCTGTCTCAGGGTGTCTCCTGGTCTCTTCTTTCACAGACACTCCTGTCGTAAGGGAAAGACAAGATAAGATACGTAGGTGGGTGTGGGAGCAAGATCAGGAAGAAGCAGCTGGTGGGGGGTGGGGAAGGGGGGGGCAGTGCACCATGCGACTCACCTTTTCCATCAGGAATCAGGGGTTTCCCATCCAAGTGCCAGCTAAGAGTCCCTGCGGGGTAGCCTCCCTCAGACGTACATGTCCCCACCTGAGGAAAGAGTGATGACCTCAACCTTTGAAAATGCAAGATGATACACAGGCACACAGACATATTCACAAGACCACTTTTGACCTCTCCCGCTGTTTTCCACTACCTTATTGGGGATACCAGCTGTGAGTTCAGAGGCAGGATCTACAATTTCTGGCTTCCGAGGAATTTCTGAAGGAGGGAGAAATCCAATCAGAGGCTGCAGCTTTGAAGATTCTCACAGGCTGGGTGTGGGAATGGGAGCAGTGGAAGTCAGGTCCTCACACACCCAGTGAAGGGCTCAGGAGTTAATGTTTTTTCTCAGATGAGAAGTGGGCCCTAGCCAAGGCCCTAGAATCCTTACGGTAGACTTGGACCCGGTAGTTGGACTTGGTCTCCTTTCCATGCCTGTTCGTTACCCGGCACCGGAAGGTCCCCTCATCATGGACCCCAACAGCTGGAAGGAGGAGGGAGCCATTGGGGAGGACTCGAGCCACACTATCCCAGGGGCCTCCCTGGGGAGACAGGACCTTCCAAGCTTCTGTCCGTCCTGTGTTCTGGAGACAGAGGAGAAAGGTCTTAACAGTGCAAGTCCTCTGGGAAAGAATGGATCAGGCAGGGTGGTGGTGGGCATCATCACAGGTCTCTCCTTAATTTGGGAGGCTGTGACAAGAAGTCCAGCTTACCAGCTTCCATTCCAGGTGCTGGGGTTGTTTCTTGGGGGCCCCCTTACAGTTCAGTACCAGTGGCTCCCCGATCCGGACTGTGATGTTTTGACTGCCTACTACTGCCCCTGGGAGACAATATAGTGGTAGAGGGAAGATGGGAGCTAATGAAATTAGTACAGGGTGGGTGTGAGAACTTGAAAAGCAGCAGCCAGGTTCTAGGAAAAAATTCTGGGAGATGGGGTGTGGGGGGGTTCTGGGGATTTTGGGGGCAGAGTGCTTTCTGCAGGGAGGATCAGCAGGGCTGGGGAGTAGCTCACCCCACAGACCAAGGACCAACACCCAGACTCCAGCCGCTGCCCCAGCTGCCATCCTGTTTCCTTCCCAGGCTCCTGGCTCCGTCTGCCCCTTTCCCTGATGTGGCTACTACCCTAGGTGGGGCTTGTCCCCTTCTACTATTGTCAGTCACAGGGAATGCCAGGAATTCATGCCTCCTGGACAAGAGTCCTTCAGGTGCTAGGAGAAGCAATCTCACCCCACCTCTGGGCACTGCCACTCACCTGGGGGTAGGGAAGTACACTTTCTAGGGTCTCATTCCTTCTGAGTCCCCCACTGTATTCCATTAATCCCGCACAGGGCTGCCTGGAGCCCCATCTTGATTAGGTAGGGTTGCTAGGATTTAGGGCAGGGTGTTGTCACCAGGGGTGGATATGAGGCCTTGCAGTGATGATAAGGCTGTAGGACAGGGTAGAAACCTATTGGGGCTTTCAGAGAAAAAGATTTCTAGTGTTTCATGTTTTTTGAAAAAAAAATTCTCAACCCAGGGAAAAAAGAAATTCCTTTATTTAAAACTGCGTTGTTTTTTTTTTTCTTTGTGAAACTACAAGTTTACAAGTGAGGAGAGAACTGCCCCTGGCCCATGCCTCCCCCCTCCCCCACCCATCACTCCCAACCTGTCTCCCCAGTCCTGCCTGGATCTCTGTTGGGAGGGGGTCACCACTCTGACAGTCTTGTAAAATCCTGAGGATGTTTGTGGGGATCAGATATAAGGGTTGAGGGCTGAGGATGAGACTTTTTATCTTCCTCAATACCTGACTTTTTGCAACTTCTCTCCCCACCCCCTTGATTTTGGTGTGAGGAAAAAAAAAAGACCTTATTTTTGGGGAAACTGAGGGAGACACATACATAAGCATCTAACCTATATTTAACATATTTGGCAAGAACCCCCTCCCCATTCATTCTCCTCCAATCTGCAAATAGTTTTTTAAAAAATTTAAAGATGTATCACACAGAGAAGGTGGCATCCTTGAGCTCTTCCAAAATTTCTGAATCCAGCTCTTCCCAAGAGTTATGGGAAGGGGGGGGACAGGTGGTCTTCAGGGCAAGCCACTATGCCTCCACACCAAATGCAGCAAAAACTTGACTGCACAAAGAACCATCTAAGTGACTGGAGGGGGGCAAAGCAGGGGAGTTGTTGTCCTGCAAAACTAACTTTTTGATGGGTAGGCCCAGAGCCAGGTGGGCCTCTTTACTAGTTCTGGTTGTTCCCTTTCTCTTACTAGGATCCCTTTGGCTATCACCTCTAATATGGGAAAGCAAGAAATTAAAAAAAAAAAATCAGTATGTTTATATACAATAAAACAACAAACAAAACCAAAAACCAACAACCACCTAATTCCACAAACTAAATTAAAAATTAACAATAAGAAAATCAAAAAAAGTATCCCAGGGTTTTTCTTTAAAAAAAAAAAAAAAAAAAGGTTCAACCCCAAAGCCCAGTCAACAATTCCCTTAAGTAGCAGAAACTCCCTCCGAGGTAGATATCTGAGTCAGACACTCTCGTCCACCGAGCGATTCTATTGGTTTAAGATGAGCTGCATATGAGGTAATAAAGCCGTCTGGAGGGGCCAGGGGTGGGGATGCACAGGGGGCGTGGCCCATGTCCTCTTGTCCAGAAGTCGAGTCCCCATTTTTGGCATCTCTGGGTTGGGCAGGGCTGACGTCTCCAGATTCCAGAGCATTTAAGTGGGGTGGGGAAGGGAAAGTGGGGGAACCCAGAGAGACAAACAGAATAGTTGTGTGTGTGTATGTGTGTGGGGGGAGAGATGTGAGAAAAAGTGGTCTGAGAAATAGGTGTCTGTTTTTCTGTGTGTGTGAGAGAGAATGGGACAGAAAAAAAAAAAAAAGACTGAAAGAAGGAAAGAAAGACCCCACTCTCCCCTTAGGGGCCCCGTTCTCCCTGCCATATAGTCAGCACCCCCAGCACTGAGTCTAGTTGGAGAAGGGATGATCCCATTCACCCCTCTGTTTTGTGCTTCTCCTGTTTTGGGGTTTGTCCTCTGGAAGCCTGTGTCCTCTTCAAGAGTTGCCTTGTGGGAGCCCCCACTCCTGTGACCCTGAGGGGTGAGATCAGTTGGAGGTGTCGGAGTGAACACTCCCTGGTCCCTCTGTCGGGGATGTCACTGAGGATGGGGTCACAGCCTCCTGCCAGCTGCCATTTGCCTGGAAAAAGGGAGAGAAACAGTAGGAGTAGGGCCCCGGGAAACCCTGTGTAAGCAACAGTGCTAGGGAAAAAAGACTCTCCTGTCTTGGAACTAGAGACCACGGGGCTTCAGGAACCACTCACTCTCATTTCCCGAGGACTGTACATCTGGCCTCCTCCAAGGTTATCCCCGTAGCCCCCTGGCCCCATTGAGTGTCGGAGTGTTTCCACCTGCAGGCCACAAGGAACGCATGACAGAAGCCTCAGAAAAGGTCTAGTATCTTAAGGGTGGGGGGCAGGGGGAGGGTGGAGTTTGGAAAGTCAGGAGATGGGGCACCTGACCTGGGAAGCAGAATAGGAATCTCCATTGAGGCCGGGCATCCCCAGAAACATGTCTCCAGATCCTGAGAGACTGAAAGAGCCACCAGAGCCTTGAGGAAACAAGAGAACAAATTAAGGAAGAGTACAAGGGAGCTTGTGATGGCAGATGTACACAATTCTCAGGTTCTAGAAAGCTCTCTAGGCTAGCTCTGTGGGGATATTAAGTGGGCTACACACAAATTACCCACAAAACAACATTCCCAGCCAGACATGGTGGTACACATCTGTAATCACACACCGGGGGAGGCTGAGGTAGGGAAATCAGGAGTTCCAGACGAGCCTGGACTACATAGTAAGATTCTGTATCAAAAAACCAAACCAAACCAAGCCCAAAACAACATTCCCACAATCAGAGCAGGTTTTTCCAGAGCCTCCCCTGGCCATTCATTGAGAGAAAGGCAGAAGTAACTTTACTGGAGTGACCTCTGTCCCTGACATTATCATCCATCCTATCTCAGCTTGGTCCCTTTAACCCTCAAAAGTCCCCTTTTGCTATAATCCTGCCTAGACAGGAAGCGGGAACAAAAACAGGAAGTATACAGAACAGCTAGCCAGGGTGGCAGTGGGCTCCACCTGCAGAGGAAGGGGGTGTCGGGGAGCTGGTGCGGCTGTGGCCCCCCTGGGCAACTGATACGGCTGTCTTGACAGCATAGATGTTTGCTTCCTCTTGGAACTTTCCAATATTTTTCTTATAGCGAATCCGCTTGTTGCCAAACCAATTGGAGACCTGCAGGGTGTTGGGCACAGAGGGTCAGGTGGAAACTTTTCCCTCTGAAACCCCTTAATGAATAGCTGACAGCTTTTTGCCCCCAAACTCTTTCTCCCCAGTACCTGAGAGACGGTCTCACAATACCTGAGAGACGGTGATGCCACACTTCTTGGCGAGCTCCTCCTTAGCCTCTTCACTAGGATATGGATTACTCAGATGGGAGTAGAAATACTCATTTAGGACCTCAGTGGCCTGTTTGCTGAAGTTTCGGCGTTTTCGTCTACAGAGCAGGGAGAAGGGTGTGAGGAGCATAATGGTATCTTAGCAGGGCTGTCATGTTGCATAACTCCAGGAGGTACTACTGTCGGAGTACCGTGTTGTACAACATGGCATTCTAGGGTCTTGGAAAGAAATAAGCAGACTGGTGCTGGGGGCCAGCTAGGGTACCAGAGCCCCCACCTGGCATCCAGGAAGCGGGAACGTAGGATCATGACAGCCTCACAGGTGCTTTGCTTGAGCTGCATCTGGATGGCGCTGAACTTTCGATGGATGATGCTCACCATTCGTTCCATCTCCTTGGGGGCCACAGGCCTTGTACGGCTCTGTTCCCTCAGCAGGTTCATGACATGGGTTGTGAACTCGTTACATGCCTGCAGCGGGGGCAGGTGGGCTGGTGATGAGGAGACCTTTGGTTTTGGGATTCCCTCTGAAGAGCCTCCACCCGCCTCAGCCTCCTCTCCTCACCTGCTCATACTTCTCCAGCTCTGAGTGGTAGATGTGGCGAATTTGGGCAAGCTTGCTGCGATAGTCTGAGTGTTCAATGGAGTTGTCCGGGGACACGCCACCCCCAGAGGCTGCTGCGGCTGCAGCTGCTGCTGCTGAGCCTCCCCCCTTCTCAGGCCCAGCCACACCCTCTGCCAGAAGCATGTTGTCCAAGCGCATCAACTGTGGGTCCACTGGCTCCTCCTCTTGGGAGCTTCGAATGCTGAGGCCTAGCATGCAGGCAAGTGTACTTAGGGCCCCAGGGACTCCTCACCCAGCGCTCAGAGCTCCTGGAGACCCACGTTTCCAGACTTTGGTTCCTTCCCTGGTCCCTCTTCGTCACCTCCCTGGGTCCCCACTTTCCTCACAGCCCCAAGTTGTCAAACTCTTTGCCCTACAGTAAACAGTTTTGTCCCCAGAGTTGAGGATCAGAGAGGAACCCACGTACCGGTTTTTTCCTTGATTTCACACAGGACACTAAAGAGAGCTGGCTTCATTCGGTGACAGTTTAGGGCGTGTTTCCTTGGGAGGAATGGGAGTGGGGAAAGAAAAAAGTTCAGGAACTAGAGAAACAGAGCTGTAGGACCAAGAGAGACTGGGAGTGAGGAGGGAGGGGGATAATCTGCTGAGGGAGAAAAGAGGTTTGGGATGGACTGGAGTAGATCAGCTCCCATAGTATGGGAAGCTGCTGGGTTTCAGGAAAACAGAAGGAAGATGCAGGCAGCAGAAACCGTGGGTGGGCTGGGGGCTTTGGGAGATGGCCCAGGAAAGGTATGGAGGAGGAATTTGGGGATGACTGGAGAAATGAGGGTGACTAGGTAGGTTTCAGAAGAGAGATGGAAGCTGAGATGAAGAAGAGTCAAAAGTTTGAGGAGGCAGAGGGTTGGTGATGCTCAGCTAAATGAGGAGTTCACTACAGGCATTTGGACAGGTCCTGGGGCTGGGCAGGCACAAGGGTATGTGAAGACCCTTGGAGGCCAGGGCCATGGGTGTATTAGGACCTCAGGGAAAGGGTGTAAGGTCCCAGATCTAAGGAGAATGGGGTGGGCTGGGTGGAGAGGTAGGAGAGAATACAGCACCGCTCAAGAACAGTTTCTAAGTCTGAGAGCCAGAAAAGGGCTCTGGAGATGGGGCTGATCCAGAAGATTGTAGGGGTCAGTAAAAGGTTAGCAGGGGAGGGAGACCACCTAGGGTTCGCTCTGTGGAGGTTTCAGGGTCTGTGGGTGAAGGGAGGTTTGAGAGGGATCACCACCAGACTCCCTGACTAAGGAGAGAGAAGAGCGGTGGGATCCTGAGAGGGCCCTGGAATTGGCAGGGGGGGACTCCCAAAAGACTCAAGAGCTTGTGTACCAGGTTCTGTGGGTCTGTGTGGGGTCCCGGGATGGGGGCACTCACTTGGCCTGGGCCTCGTCCAGGCTCTGGTCGGTGATGGTCATTATCTGCTGCAGAATGTCCCCGATGTCTTGCTTCCCTCGGCCTCCCGGGACCCCCCCGCTCCCCCCTCCGGGGTCTCCGCCACCGGGAGGCTCGCCAGGGCCCCCAGGCTCCCCACCCACCAATCCCAGGCCCCCCCTGCCCCCGCCTGGAGGGGGCGGCCCCAGCAGCCGCTCGTCCATAGCTGGGGGGGGGCCCTGAGGCCCCCTCCCTGCTCCGCCCCTCCCCCCGCCTGGTTACTTCCCCCCCAAACTCGCTGGGGCCGCTGCTCCCTCCGCCCCAGCCCCCGCCCGTCTTCCCCCCTCCCGGCTCCCTCGGGGTTCACCCCGGCACTGAAGGGAGACCTGGGGAACCGGCTGGGCCCCCCACAGGAGACCCCGGCCCCCGGCGGCGGAGAAAATGGAGCCGGAGAGAGAGAGGAGGCCCAAGCGGGGGTGTGTGTGCGAGAGGGAGGAGGGAGAGGGGGGAGCAAGGGAGGGAGGCTGGGGGAGGGGAGCCGGGGAGGAAGAGGAGGGGAGAAGAGAGGAGGAATAGGGAGGAGTCGGGGGCGGAGAGAGAGACACAGAAACAGAGGAACTGAGACCGAGTGGAGGAGGGGAGAGGGACGAGGGGAGGAGTCTGGTCGGTCGGGGAAAATATGGGCAGGCCCCGGGGCTGGGCCTCGGTGGCCTTGGACGGAGTGGGGGACATGGGGGGGAAGGCAGGGGCTGGGCGGCCTGCCACTTGGGTTCTGAATCCGAGATCTAGGTGATGTGGACTCTGGCCGCTGGAATGCCTGGGTTCACAGACAGCTGAGTTCATATTTCTTGTCCTAATGACTCCCCTCCCTGCTCTACTTAATTAAAACCGGGAGAGGGGGGCTGGGGGAGATAATTAGGAAGGTCTCCAGCCGCTGCTTAATGAGCCAGTAATTAACCAGCCAGGGAGGGGAGCTGGCCTCTGGCCAGACTGGGGAAGAGAGGCTGCCTCTGGCCTTATCTTCCTACCCTTCATCCCTACCCCCCTACCAGATACCAGTCTTCAATCCAGAGGGGAATTACATTTATTTATACAACCAAAACATCAGACAGACTCAGAGCAGCAGAAGGTGGGGGTGGGCAGGGCTAAAGGTCCGTTCACAGCTTCTAGGACCCTCAGCCTTGGGGCTAGGGCATGCTGGTCGCAGAGGATGGAGAAGTGTCTTAATCTCTCTTACACAGTGCCCACCCTCCATTCTTACCGGGAGGGAGGGTGGAGCTGTCTCAGTACCTTGGGAGATATGCCTTTTCTTCGCAGGGGCAGGCAGGCCCTGTCTAGAAGCTTGACAGCTCAGGATAGAGACTACCAGCCACTGCCTGAGTTTGGTGGCTGGGGTCCTCTTACTGCTTCAAGCTCCAGCATCCTTGAGGAGGGAATTAAATGACCATCCTACCTTGCCTATTCTCAGGATTTGAGCACTTTCACCCACTCCAGTTCCCAAGGAAGGTGTCGAGGGTGACGAATACTGCAGTTTCTGTTGGTAGCCCTGCTAAGCTGGGTTGAGGGCATGCCATGAGCTGCCCAGCTTTGAGCCCTAGGAGGGAGGAGGGGCTGATTGCAGGGTCAAGTCTCAGCAAGTGTGTGTGGGGGGCTGTGATCTTTGTTCCTCCATTCGACCCCCACCCTGAACTCTCAGCAGCAACTCCAGGAGCTCCTGTCCCCCTGGAGGTAGGGGAGGCTCTGACCGCTGGGCTTCCATTCGTTGGCACTGGAGGAGTGGAGGGAGAGGAAAGCATTGATAGTGGGTGGGGGTGGGGGCTTGAGAAGAGCCAGAGTTGGTGCGGGAAGCAGATAAGAAACCCGTGATAAGGATGGGGTCTAGAGGCTGGCAACAGAGTGGATGCCTAGGTAGAAAGAAGAGGTAAGGCCAAAAGAGAATGGACTAAGACCTGGAGGCCTGAGTGTTGCCTCCTGGGGTTGTCTCACCTGATGACTGAGGATGGTGCTGTAAAGCTGTTCTTTGTCCTCAAGAGGCCGGGGTGGAGCTGGGGCTAAGCTTGGGGGGTTCGGGGGGGCATGGAAGGTGGCCCTCTGCTCCTCTAGGCGGCGGGACTGGGCCTCAGCCACCAGGTCCAGAAGTAGCTCAGTCTGCAAGGAGAGTAGGGAGGCCGAGCGGGGCCCCAGGGCTGGGAAGAGGAGGGAAGGAGGGCTCAGAGACCCACAGAAGTTGGCAGATAGGCGCAGTGAGGGGTGGAGACACAGTGAGGTGATCAGGGTCTTTGGGTTAGAGCAGAGAGGATGTGATGGTAGGGGGACCACACTGGACCGGCCTTGGTAATGGAGTCAGGACATGGGCACCAAAGTCACGGGTTCTCTGGGTTGGTGGGGGTACCTGTGTGGCGGGTCCCTGGAGGAGGAGGGGATGGAGGAGCAGATCGCCAAGGCCGAGTGGTAGAGTCCAGAGGGGGCCAGCCCTGCTCATCCTGCGGGGGTCCCTGATGCCAAGAGACGTGCATTCCAGTCAGCGGGAGTGTAGGTGGAAGGGTGGGCAGAGGTCTAGGCCAGTGGCCCATTTCCTGTGTTTCTCTTCCTGCCCTAGCTTTTCCAAGTCTTCTGTGTGCATTGTCACTATGTCTGTGCCCCAGATCCTCATACTTCCCTTCTCTCCCAGTTGTCAGCCTCCCCACCCAGAGTCCAGCTCACCTGTTCACCATCCTCTTCTTCTTGGGGTCTCTCAGCCTCCATCCCCAGGTGGGGAGAAACAGGGGAGGGGTGGCTGGGATTTGGGAGGAGGGAAGGAACCTTGGGTTCCTGAGGGGAGTGGGGGCTGAAAGGGGTGGGGGTGAGCTGGGGGCTGGATGCTTGGGTACTGAGCAGGAAGCTGGGTTCCTGGTCAGCCCCCCCCAAGGGCCCCGCCCATCTCTGTCAACTTCCTCCATTCTCTTTTTCCCACCCAAACAGCTTGTTTGACCTCTCCACCCACCCAGGGAACAGAGAGACTGTGAAAAAAGTCCAGCTGCAGGAGTGGAGGGGGCTCCTAGTGGGGAAGGAGTCCAGCCTTCTCTTCTCCAGGGTTATTAGCCCCCCAACACCCGAATTTGCTCCCTCCATCCCCCGCCTCCCCTTCAGCTCTTTCTGTCAACACCGGAACTAGCTACACAGGAAGTGGTTTCACTCTTCAGGATCTTCCCTCCCCCAAACCAGGTCCTTTCCCTCCCTAAGACCTTGATGTAGGATTTGGCCGTTCTCATCTTCCCTGACTTAGTGGGACTGGGAAGGGCATGGATCCAGTGGGCAGCCAAGGACTCAGATTCAGGTTGTAGTGTTCTCAAATCTACATTACACTCCTAGCACTGGGTCCAATACACAGTAAATACTCAAGATCTGTGCCCTCTGTTTAAGGTCTATTCAGGGGCTGAGATGTGCATCAAATGTGAGAGAATGGGACAGGGCTCATTCTGGCAAGTCACAGTTTAGTGCAGATAAGGGACAGGGTGGAACTTTTCTTTGGTCACGAATACAGGATACAGAAATGGAAAATGGAGAGAACCATCTGCCTAGCTTGGTCTTTGATTGAAATCATCCAGGCTGGTAGGTACCAAGGAGGTGCCTATCTCCTTGGGTAGGTAAAAATCCTCATGTCTCAGTTTTTGGAAGAGTAAATGGGATTTTAATAGCACATCAGTTGATGCAAGTATTAAAAAAACACGTGCTACAGAGGGAATACTCAATAAATTATTTTCAAAATGCCTCATGCCTCCAACATCTCAGGCCTAACACTACCAAAGTGAAATCAGGTGGCTGAAACAGATGGTTGGTTACACGAGATGTTCTCTCCATCTTCCTGTACTTGACTTGAAGGCTTAGGAATCTCCAGGCTGTAACTAAGTGCACTTGGAAGAGTGACACATGGTGTGCATGGCTTAGAGTGCGTGTTTCTCCCTGGACTACTAGACACTTGCTTTCCTAAGATACTCAAATGAACATCGGACCCCAAGAATCTACTTATTTTTGCCCTTATACTATACTTAAAGCCCCCATACAAATGAGTGTTAAGGGTATGAAATTCCCCATCCAGTCACTTTCACATTTTTTTCCCACCCCACTCTTCAATCCCTCAAAAAATTTAACACTTCAAATAAGCTTTATTTGACATATATGGGGTTCTTAAATAGAAATGGCAATGGCTAGAAGAGTGGCGCTTCATCCCTGTAGCAGTTTCGTTGTTGGAAAGGAAAGGAGTCATCAACTAGAATGGCCATTGGCCATCTTTCAGCATCTACACAGTGCTTGGCACACGGCAGGTGCTCAATAAATAAGTCAGGTGTTTGTGGGCCACAGTGTGGGCAAAGGATGATAGAGGCCCCCTTTGGGAACCATGCGCAAGAAAAGAGTATCTTATATCCTATCTATCCACAGTTCTTGGGTCCAGTTAGAGATATTTCTCTCCATTTCGGCCTGTTGTACACTCTCACCCTCATTTTCTAGGAGAGAAACTGGGCCTGTCTCATCCCAGCATCATAAACCCTTCTTTTTCGTGCTGTGGCTTTTCTACGTGGGAGACAAAGCCTATTCCAGTGGGCATACACTCTTTGAGAGGGAAATTGAATTCCTGACTCCTCACGATTGGGGCTTGATCATAGTCTAGAGTGCCTGTCATTTATGGGTAGTTTTAAAATTCCTCCTCTCTATGTAGACTTCTAGTTCTGACTCTCTCCTCCTGAGTTTAAGGGCGTTACTTGGAGAGAAAGACCCCAGGCAACTTGAGGGGATCCCCGCTCTGGAGAAGGAGTAAGGCAAGGAGGCGGGATTGCAGTGCTAGAGGCGGGGCAGCAGGCTCCCAGGACCACCCAATCATAGGGCCGGTCATCCGCTGAAGCCTTTCCCCCACGTCCGGCTCTTCCTCGCTCTAGCGCAGGGTTGGGCCGAGACCCGCGCATGCCTGCAGAAAACCTACGGCTGCGGGAGGGCTGGCCTCCTCCTGCTCCTCCTCCGGACAGGCTCCGACAGTGTGAATAGGCCCCGCTCCCACGTGCGGTCAAGTCTACGGACAAAGTCCGAGCTTGCAGACATGCACCGCCCCCGCGCGGGCCTGTTCCAGCTGACAGCGTCCGGCAGCGCGGCGGAGCCCCGCCTCCGTGCGGAGGTACGCTTTCTGACGCGGTCCGCGCGCGCGGGAACGCCCCAGCCTCGCGGCCCGGCGGCGCTTTGTGATGTATCTCCGGTGGCCCCGCCCCTCCTAGTAATGACAGCAGATCCCAGTGGTTACGCTGGCGGGCAATGTCCGCGGGCGCTAGCCCAGCCTGGTCTCGCAATCCTCGGGTCGCCCCCAGCCCCAGCAGCAGCTGGGCTACCTCCACTGCTCCTTCCCGGGCCGCCAGGAACAGCGGTGTCTGCTCCTGTAGAGAAGAAACAGCCAAGGGGCGAGGTCAGGGAAGGCCATGCCCACAACACGGGCCTTTTCTGACTCCACCCACTTGGCTGATAGCCTCGCCCACTTCAGGTTTTTTTTTTTTTTTTTT